CTGTTGACCAAACTAGAGTGCCTTGAGGTCAAACTTCTGGGTTCAAGCAATCTTCCTGCCTTAGCCTCCCAAGTAGCTGGGATTACAGGCACCTGCCACAATGCCTGGCCAGAAATTTTTCCAATCAGGGTCTTGCTGTTGCTCAAACTGGTCTCAAACTCCTGAGCTGAAAGCAGTGCTCCTGCCTCACCCTCCCAGAGTGAGGTTTTTAAAACAATAGCTAATGTTAGCATTTAGCTGAAGAAGTGCTGCTGATGTTCATTAACTTTCACTAAAATGAAAACACTTTCACTACTATGATATGTAATTCTTGAGGAGCGTCAGTTTTTTTCCCACATTATTATTTTTAGACTTCTTTTGATCTTACTTTTTATTTCTTTGTTCATTCATTTACTGATTTCTTATAATGAAATGTCCTTTAAATTTTACCAACATGTTGTTTGAGAAAACAGCATATTTTGTAGGGAGGATGTTCAATGAAGAAGTTTCAATCCTTGTTGAAATCACCTAAGGAACTTTTAAAATACCAGTCCTGAGCCCTACTCCAGAACTATTCAGTCAGAATCTCTGAGAGATTGAGCCTGGCAGTTACATTTTTTAAGGCTCTTAGGATGATTCTAATGCATAATAAAGGTTGAGAGCTATTGATTGAAATGATAAAATCATAGGTTTGAAATTTATTTTTAAAATTTGTCTTCTGTTGCAGCAATTGACATGTGGTCAGCAGGTGTCATATTTCTTAGTTTGCTTAGTGGACGATATCCATTTTATAAAGCAAGTGATGATTTAACTGCTTTGGCTCAAATTATGACAATTCGAGGATCCAGGGAAACTATCCAAGCTGCTAAAACTTTTGGTAAGCAGTTTTATATAACAAAACAAATGACTTTGATTATCTCCGACAGATCACTCAATAAATTATTATTAAAATCTCTTTATAAATAAACATATTCAGGGTTCATAAAGTTCTCTAATCTTAGGTAGAAAATTTATCATTATCTCTTCTCTATACATGTAATCACTTAATTTTATTAAGTACAAAGTACTATACTGCTTCAGTATTTAAAGTTTAGCTGTATAATCTTCAAAGAATAAAGAGTAAAATTCCTTTTGTTGTGGTTTGGCTTTTATAACAAATATTTTTCTTTTTCTTTTTCTTTTTTTGAGACAGAGCCTCAAGCTGTCACCCTGGGTAGAGTGCTGTGGCATCATAGTTCATAGCAACCTCCAACTTCTGGGCTTAAGCAATTCTCTTGCCTCAGCCTCCCAAGTAGCTGGGACCACAGGCACCCACCACAACGCCTGGCCATTTTTTTTTTTTTTTTTTGATTGCTGTTTGGCAGGCCTGGGCTGCATTCAAACCCACCAGCTCTGGTATATGTGGCTGGCGCCTTAGCTGCTGGAGCTACAGGCACCGAGCCAACAAATATTTTTAATAATATGTTTTAATTTTTTATTTTATATTAAACATCAGGTACACTACTTCTTGGTACTCCAGAATGTCCTTGCCTGAAATGAGCTTAGTCTATACTAACAAGTGAACAGTTAATTATAATGCAGTGTAGTAAGGGCTACAATAGGCGGGAGAATAGAAATGTGTGTAGTCGTCAGATTCCATAGCGTTAAGGTAGAAATAAAATGAACAGAACACCTAAACTGATGGAGTGTTTTTGTAAGCGTATGTTGGACATGGAAAGTGATCTCAGCCACGCAAATTCTTCTTTTTTTTTTTTTTGAGACAGAGCCTCACGCTATTCCCCCGGGTACAGAGTGCTGTGGCATCACAGCTCACAGCAACCTCCAACTCCTGGGCTTAAACAAGTCTCCTGCCTCCGCCTCCCAAGTAGCTGGGACCATAGGCGCCCACCACAACACCCAGCTATTTTTTGGTTGCAGCCATCATTGTTGTTTGGTGGCCGGGCTGGATTCGAACCTACCACCTTAGGTGTATGTGGCTGGTGCCTTAGCCATTTGAGCCACAGGCGCCAAGCCCAAATTCTTCTTTAAGTCTGGGATAAGTAGTATATTTCACAGGGCACTTGAGAATTACCTCAACCTCACTCTGACCAACAACCTGAGCTCAAGTGCCTACTTGTGTTTATTTTCCAAGCTCAGTGATGGGTAATACTTTCTAAAGAGTGAGTGTGATTGAGTCAGCTTACTATCACACGATAAGAAATACCCCTATGGGCAAAGCTTCACTCAGCCTACCTCACAAATAACTGGCTACCTGTGCTCAGCCCCAGGATCAGTGGGTCCTAACCAGGGGTACATATCAGAATTGTCTGAGAACATTTATTTAAGAAATGCATATGCCTGCCCTATCCTTCTCATTTCTGGAGAATGAGATTCAGGAAAACATGATAATTAGGAAGGCTCCAGGATTGTTAGTTTGAAACAAACAATTGATTTTAACGAAGAACTACTGGTGGTTAAGAACAAAAATAACTGTCCCTTGCTTAAGCACCAGTATTGTGGTCTAATCCACAAGAAAAACTTAGTGGTAAAGTCCTCATCCAAAATACTTTTCTACAGCAAAATCAATTTACAATTGTACTTTATGTTGTACCTAGGCATAAAAAAAATTTATTTGAGGATAATAGGGTGATATAATACATACAAAGGAAAAGTGGCCAAGAATGGAAAGCAAGATTGGTATTTTGGAAATGGCATTCTTACATAAGAATAAATATAACATGAATATGTTTATTCATAACTAACTGAGAAAACTTTTATCTACTATTGAATAATTTTGTGAGAAGCTTATGAACATGAAGTTTATCAGCCAGCACCAGAATGTTTTGTTGTATAGCTTGAATCCCTGTTGGTAGTTAAAGTTATAGTCAGAACCAACAATGGAAGTATAGCTTCCAACAATAAAAATACTCCAGAGCAAGTGCCATGACAGCAGGCAAGAGCTTTCAGAGGTTTATCATTATAATAATTATCATAATAAAAAAGTAATGCTATATAGCACTTACTTCAGTTTTATTAGTATGATCTCTTTAGTTATTTTAGTCAGATCTTACTATAACTTTGGACTGAGTACAGAAGACTCAAAATTTCAACAAACTAGTATTCCCCTTTATAATCTACAGAAAAGACTTGGCTGAGATTAGCAGTGAGAGAACCTTCACTTCGCTTGTCTGTAACCTGCTTCCTTTCCTTAACCATCGTGGATTGTCATTAACTATGTGTTGAATAAATTAAAAAGAAAAACTTTGAGCTAAAACCAATTCCTGACACACAGTAGTCTGTAACAAAATATATTCAATCCTATGTGTTAGTTAAAATTACTTTCCCTATTTTAAATGAGCCCTCTTCTTTGATCATCAAAATAATAATGTAGGCAGACCTGGCTTACACCTGTAATCCAAGCATTCTGGGAGGCTGAGGTGGGAGGATTGTTTGACCTCATGAGTTCGAACCTGAGCAAAAGTGAGACCCCATCTCTATAAAAATAGAAAAACTGAGGCAAGAGGATCACTTGAGCTTGAGTTTGAGGTTGCTGTGAGCTGTGACACCACCGTGTTCTACCGAGGGCAACAGCTTGGGACTCTGTCTTTAAAAATAAATAAATAAATAAATAAATAATGTAGGCATATCATATAGCTTCATGACATGCTACCACGTATATTGTTAATTATTTCATGACTATAGAGTACATTAAGGAATAACACTGCAGGTAGTTAAAGATTATAGAAAGGTAAAGGAAGCTGGCAGAGTCAAGTGAGTGCCTGGTACAGCACAGCACTGCTTTCTACTTACTATCTCCCACTTTATTGTTTGGCTTTCAACTTGGGTAACACAGACAACTTAAAGATAGCGTGTCATACTCTATCTCATACCCAATATGTATATACGCTTAAATATCCACAAAACACATGGTTGGACTTGTATGTTTCTCATGAGAGAGGCTCCTAATATAGTTCAATAATATAATAAAATGTACTTTTTTTTTTCTTTCAGGCAAATCAATATTATGTAGCAAAGAAGTTCCAGCACAAGATTTGAGAAAACTCTGTGAGAGGCTCAGGGGTATAGATTCCAACACTTCCAAATTAACAAGTGATACACAAAGGTCTGCTTCTCATCATCCAACTTTTTCAGAGAAGACTGACCATAAAGCTTCTCCCCTCATCCAAACACTTCAAAAACAACACTCAGGGAGTTCATTGTATAACAGGGACAGTAATGGCTGTGGGGGTCGTTTTGATGAGTATACCACCAATTTAGAAGGCTGGGATGAGGTACCTGATGAAGCTTATGACTTGCTTGATAAACTTCTAGATCTAAATCCAGCTTCAAGAATAACAGCCGAAGAAGCTTTGTTGCATCCATTTTTTAAAGATATGAGCTTGTAATTATGGTTCCTCATTTAATATTTACTTTTGTGCATTGTGAGGTGGAGTAAAAAAGAGTTCTGTGTAATGGCTATATGTGTAGAGACCAGAGCAGGGTGAATAATTTATTTTAAAATTTTGATATTTGCTTTGGTGGCAGATTCTAAAATACAGATTAAGATTACTTAAAATGCCAGGGATATTCTTTGTAGTAACAACATAATCTGTAAATTAACACTACCCTAAGAAGAATCAGATCTTTAGTTTCCCTAACTACTTTTCACTGCTGTGTACAGAAAAATGAGCAGTTTTAATTTTAATTAATTAAAATTAATGGATATAATAGGGATTAAATAAGTCAAAAGGATATAGTTTACTGATTCTTAGAGCTATCAGCTATGTATACTTTGGGGCAACTCACCCTGGTGCTGGTAGTCTAACAATTTTGTAAGCAAAAAAGATAATTTCCTCTTCTAGAGGTATTTATTATGCCTTTTATGAACACTAAATGAATGAGAAAATGTTGGTCATGGGGCAAAATACCACTTAAAATTGAATGGATCTACTTTTTTTAAGAAAGTATTTTTTGAAAGCATTTTTGTGTGAATTGCCAATTTTCTCTTGATTTTTCTACCTTTTCTGCCTCCACTTGAAACGTTCTTCTGGGAAATTATATGGTGCTTACCACAAAGTTTCTGGGTGCTTTATTAACCTTGCATGTGTTTATAGTTGAGAACTTAAAATAATGCTTATACCAGTTGATAAGGGGAAGCTGCCAGGACCAAAGTGAAAATGGATAGTTGAAAATGCTTTTCTTTTTCTCTTTTGAGTGTGTGCTTTTTTCACACCATCTTGGGTGTAATTAGATAGCTGCTAAAAGGAAAAGTAAACACAATTGAAAATACGAGAGATTTTTTTCCTCTGCCTAGAGCCATCCATATCGCTATATCCCGTTTTGACTGAGCTGGTCCTCCTCAGAGAAGGATAATTATTCTTGAGTCTTAGCTGGGTTAAGAAGGGAAATAATGAGGTAGGCAAAGAAGAAAAGGACATACAATAGGGGTTTATATATAATGTATGTTCCAAAATGATATATTTTAATGACAGCATATCAAACTTGCTATGGGAAATAAGTCTGGGAGGGTGTGTGCTGACAGGTTTCCCATTTAGTAGTCAGTTTAGAAACAGCTAGGGACATATATATATTGTTATTTTGAGCATTGATAGGTCAGTATGCCTACCTGATATATTTGGTAAGTATATTAATATGTATATATAAACCATTACCATTGGTCTACTTTGTTTTATGTTGTAATATTTTAAAGAAAACTTGAATGTTCTTGAATTGGTATGTTTAATAAAGTTATCCTTTTATATTTTTATGTCAGACTATTCATTTGAAAAATGATAGCTTTGGGCATCACCTGTGGTTCAGTGAGTAGGGCACCAGCCCCATATACTGAGGGTGGAGGGTTCAAACCTGGCCCTGGCCAAACTGCAAAAAAATTGCCAGGCATTGTGGTGGGCATCTATAGCCGCAACTACTTGGGAGACTGAAGCAAGAGAATCACCTAAGCCCAGGAGCTGGAGGTTTCTGTGAGTTGTGATGTCATGGCACTCTACTGAGGGCAGACTCTGTCTCTAAAAGAAAAAAAAAAAGAGAGACTCTGTCTCTTTAAAAAAAAACACAGAAAAATGATAGCTTTGGCAGTACCCATAGCTCAGTGGTTAGAGCGTCGGCCACATGCACTGAGGCTGGTGAGTTCAAACCCAGCCCAGGGCAGCTAGGGCAACAATGACAACTGCAACAACAAAAATAACGGTATTGTGGCAAGTGCCTGTAGTCCCAGCTACTTGGGAGGATGAGGCAAGAGAATCACTTAAGCCCAAGATTTTGAGATTGCTGTGAGCTGTGATGGCACAGCACTCTACTCAGGGTGACAGCTTGAGACTCTGTCTCAAAAAAAAAAAAAAAAATGATAGCTTTTTTTTTTTTTTTAAGTATTGATCACTGGAATTTTTCTTTTAAGATTGGTGAATGATCTCTCTTTAGTAAATGGTACAAGTAGGTTAACAAATTTGGCCTAGCTCAAGTAATAAAACAGATTTTTCTATAGAAAAGGTGTTCATCGACTTAATTTATAGGATATCTGTTACAAATAGTAAAACAGTAAACCATCTCAGTGACCAAAAGGAAGTCTACCCAGCTAAACTTTTTGACTTATAGTCAAGTTACATATACAGTAGAACCACCATAGTTGACCACCTTCCTACACTGACCACCTTAAGTTGACCTAATTTTTATAGACCAGACATGCACCACATGTACGTATCAGTACAGTAGGCCTACTTCCTTTTGTTGACCACCTCCATATGTTGACCAGTTTATTACAGCCCCTTGGGTGGTCAACTTACAGAGGTACTGCTGTACTCAGAAGAAAAATTTACCATAAGGGCAGGGAGGGAAATAGTCTTTATAAAAGTTTAAAATTAAGAGCAGTTGTTTTAACTTTCCAGTAATGTCACTTAAAGGGCAGAACTTGGTTGATAAGCAAGGGGGAAGGTAACATGAAATGGTGTTTAGAAAGATAACTTAGTGTTGGCAGCACCTGTAGCTCAGTGGGTAGGGTGTCGGCCACATATACTGAGGCTGGTGAGTTCGAACGTGGCCTGGGCCTGCAACAAAAAAAATATCCAGGTGTTATGGCAGGCACCTGTAGTCCCAGCTACTTGGGAGCCTGCGGCAAGAGAATCGCTTAAGCCCAAAAGTTGGAGGTTGCTGTGAGCTGTGATACTATAGCACTCTACCCAGGGCGACAGCTTGAGACTGTCTAAAAAAAAAAAAATGCACAGTGCCTTTAGCTCAGGGAGTAGGGCGTCAGCCCCATATATTGGGAGGTGGTGGGTTCAAACTCGGCCCCAGCCAAAAATTGCAAAAAAAAAAAAAAAAAAAAAAAAGCCAGAAAAGAAAAGATAGTGTCACAAATTACTTCTCAAGGAATTTCAATACCACCAGAGAATATTCTTAATTTTCACAAATATTCCCAAAGTGTTGAATCAGAATTAGCAAGGAGTTTCTAGATACATATCCTTCAGGTTTCTAAGCTTTCTGATACTCCCTAAAAGATTTCAATCAGGCAAAATAGTCATTTCTAGGGAACAACTAAGAAGGTAACTAGTTAATGTCATTTCCTATTATTATGGAAATTCCCAGGATATTCAGCTATTTTTCACCATCAGCTTTTAAAAATTCTTATCACTCAGACTTCAGATAAACTGTTCAGGGTACTTTCACTTAATAAGCTTTAGACTTTTAGAACTATTAATATGTATGAGCTACAAGTATTGATTTTCAAAACAGACTGCAGCTCTAGCATTTGTAATGAAACTTTTCCTTTTAAGGAGACAGATGATTATGGTTGTCTTAATGACCTAAATAAGAATGTGGCTCAAGAGTGGTTGTTCCAAAGAATTAAACAGTTTACTTCAAAATCTGAGCAAAAGTTACAAAGTGATGTTGCTATCTTACTGTTTTTGGCGTCAGCATCTGTAACAAAATGGTGTTACAGATGTCAGAATATTGATTGTATAAAATCTTGAAACCCACAAAACTCTCATAAGCTTAGGTCTTAGTAATTTCTGTTGTTTGTGTAATTTCAGCCCGACACGTCACTGCAAAGTTATTTATCTTAAGAAACTGTGGCCAAATTTGGCGGGTGATACTGTCTGCCAGTGTCTGCAGATGTATTGTTTCCACCTACGTTTGTGCCTGTTGTCTTCAGAGAACACTAACACCAGACAGAAATGTCAGCTCTGTTCAGATTTTTCCTATGTTCTTAGAACTGATGTGACTGTTTCCTAATTTTGCCAAGTTATATGTCTGAACTGTTTTCCTTTCTTGAAAGGTGGATGTTATCAACTACTTGTCAGATAAATAACCAGAAGTAATTAATGCTGTGTCAAATGACAATCAGATTTTCAACAAAGTGACCACAAAGGTCAGTGCTAAGTACTTAGTAAAGAATGACATTTTAGATATCTAAAGTAAAAAGGCATGATCTTAGGAAAGCAATTGCCGATTGGGTGAGAAAATTGTAAAAATTCAACAAGTCGCAACATAATCTCAGAGCTTATTCGGCCTGTTATTTTTCTCAATAGAAGAAAATGAACTAAAAAGACAAAATTTTCCTTTACCTCTGTTTTGAGTGCTCTAAAAAATTAACAATACATAGAAAAGAGTTCAAAATGAACAAAATAAAACCATACTTGGAGAGGGTATACATAGCTTTTATAAGGCAAAAAAGATGACTAGAAAACAGAGGTAGTTTGAAATTTCTATTTAAGCATGCATCCCCTACAAAATCACCTTTTTGAATTTAACACATCATGTCATAGCCATAAGCAGATTCCATTTGGACTCTCAGGAAGCAATTCTTTAAGGAAAGGAACAACTTTAGCACTAGGAAATGTAATCCTAACATATGAAAGAAATAGCTCCTAGATTCATCTCTGGTTGTCGATTTAGAGAAAGCCAACGTCACTCTAGTAAGGAACCAAGAAGATGGATCAAAGGATAGCCTTCTGACGTCCTGAAATTAGGAGAGAAGTAACCGAAAGCTGCCAGCTGTGGGCTGAGTAGTACAAATCAGAAGATGAAAGAATCATTGGATGATTTTCCAATCGGAATTTTTGCATATGTTCCTTATCCACATTCTATTGATAATGTGTTTTTATATGTGTATTTAATTATGTATTTGCTCTTTGTGTAGATTCCTTCCATAACTTCTCTGAAGACTAGCATATGATCTAGAAAGGACTCCAACTAGGACAAGACTAAGAAATCAGAAACAGATGTATGGGTCGGGAGCCCCATATTGTTATTTTAGCTCTGTCCTTAAGAAAAAAGGAGCAGGGGACGGAGCAAATTGCTCTAGACACTCATCTTGATGCTTTTTTGCCCAGTAGAAACTTCCTTATTTCTTCTGGCATGTTGCTGATGACGGTCTTCCTACATTCAAATGCTCTGATTAAAAACAAAACCAGTCACACTCTATGTGTATGTATATGAGTAATCTTTAGGCAAGCATTAGCA